GACAATGTATTACCGCCGGGCGGAGATACTTTCCCTGATTCCCTTTAAATGGTGGCGGTGGCTTTGTTTTTAATGCGCGTGACCCAGTTGGCCCGGCGCTCCACTTTACCCGTTGCACCTTCCTCTCCGACAGCTTAAAACGAATTTGCAGCGGCGCACTCGTGACGATCATCCCGGATGAATCATTCGCGGACGGATCGCGCCGCTTGCCACTGAGTGAAGCGAACGAGTGTGTGTGGTATCGAGCGATAAATTATCGGCGTTACAATTAGCGACGTGAACGTAAGTTAATAAGGCGAAACGCAAGAAGCGCGCTGACCCGTTCCCAGTAACACTTAGCGCGTCTAATTAGGACTCGCGCGTAAATCACAAATTCGTCCCGAAAAGCGCGACACGACGCTACTAATAAGAACTGTTTGCTAATTAGCGAACGTCTCCGACAAGCTCGAGATATAACATTCGCGCGCCGTGCGAAACGCCATACGGCTAATAGACGTCTTTTAACGGCCCGGCGTTACCCTCCCTTCCTCGCAATCGTAAATAATTTTGTTGCATCTTCTACATGAAATTCACTTTTCGACGGCGTATACGGCGAGAGAGCGCACCTCGTGCGTCGATATCGTCGTAAAAATTGCGAGAGCGTTTTACACTAACGCCTCCGCGCCATCGGCTTAAGCTTCGCTCTTCAGCCGGCTTGGAAAATACACGGTGTCCCGTGTACGATGTCATGTAAGCGCACGAATATACACACATGTGTGTGTGTGTGAGCTCCTTCAGCCTGCGGATACCGCAGGCCAAACTGGGAGAAACTAGGCGACCGGCCTGAGACACCCCGTATGCGCGGTATATGCGCGATAAAATCGCCTCGGCGTGCACGTGGAGAGAGAGAGAAAGCTGCACGGACCTGGATGAAAAGTGGAGCACGGGAGAATTGCGCCGTGACGAAGCGACAAAGCAGTTAAGTGATCGATCAGTCCTTAGGTGTGCACCATCTTTGCGACTGACCCCCCGCGAAGTCCTCCCACCTTATCTCTCTCTCTCTCTCTCTGTTTCTTCTCCTCTCTCAAGCCGCGTTATATATTACCCGTACCACATAATAACGTCGGATGTATCGCATAAAAGGCTACACGATTATGGCCGGGTGCATGTCCACATACTCGGCATGTGTGTAAAAAGTGTTCATACAGCCGGCGCGGTGCAACACTACCGAGGGTGCATCGCGGCAACTCGCGTCACGCTCGCGTAGTTTTAGCGAATTAGCTTTTGCCCTGTGATGGGTAAAAGGGGACGGGGAGACGGGAATAAGGTAACAAAACTTTCACGCTTCAATTAGCCTTAGATGAACTTCGACGCGATGTCGAATTAAGCTGGTACTAAGTATCAGTATTAATAATTATGCCCGCGGAGCCTCGACAGGGATCGGGGCTCAGCGAACGGGAAACGGGCGCTCGACGACGCGACGACGACGACGTCGAGCCGCTCGCAATTCGAGCCTTGCGAAACCCGGCATAACGAAGTAGACTGTGTGTTTCGTCGTTCGCTTTTTGTCCGGTCGCTTTAACAAAGCTCCGCGTTATTTGTCAGCGAGCGTGAGAGCGAGCGAGCGAGCGCGCGGTAGCGAGCGGGAATTAAATAACAGGAATTTACCATTCGCGTAATAAATAATTCCCAGCGCGTGGCGAGAGCAAGCGAATTCGCGCCATACGGTAAAGCGCGAGAGTTGGTATCGCTCTCTAAAATAATTCAACGGCATTGTTTTATCGATCAATTTGCGATTCACTTCAAGCGTAAGTCGTCTTTGTGACTGACCCGATGACCTGCGCTACACATTATATAGTCGCGCGTTAACGCTGGCGCGGCACGTAACTATGTGACGGACGCTGTACGGTGCGTTTATAAACTTTCTCACGCATGCACGCACACAATGCATGCCGGTCTCGCGACTAGATTGCATACAAAATAATGAAAAACGGTAGGACGATGATAACGCCGCCACGTGACTAACTCTTCACGCTTAACTAATTGACGTACACGCGCGCCCATGTACGCGCGAGCGCGCAAACACAGCGGTGAGTGTTTACTCAAAGAGTAAATTGCAGAATTACAATGTTTCGTCTAGACCGTGAAAGCGGAAAAAGGGAGTTTTCGCTTGAAAATAGCGCAACATTCGAGCAATACTCCGCGTTACGATAATAGCTTCATCGGATTAGTCGCTTATTTTAAACGTAAATATCACTATTGCCGGTGTATGCGATTACTCCAACCGCTCGTGGTATCGTTTCTTATTTTCAATCATCAAATTACAATCTCCTGAATGGAAATTTCTCAATGGTTTATCAAAGCCAATTAATACTAATGATAGTATCGGGAAAGTAGAGATCTCTTACGGAGATAACTACATCGTTCTCTTTTTGACGCGTCATTGTTGCGCGAAATTGATATTAATATGTGCTTCATGCATTGAGAGGAAAATATTTGGTATTTGTAACTGTAATCATCATAGTAAAAGGATTATATAATCAGGAAAACTAATATTCTAGTAATGTTATAATGTTAGTGATAATAATCTTACATATATGTTGTTACTACTACTTTTGTGATTAAAACTATAAAAAGATTATGGCTGGCATCGAAAATAACTATAATTTCTTTCAGTATGCCAGAATCGGAGATAACGAGTTAAATTATCTGTACATCGTATAAATTCCCGGATAGAAATTAATCGGGACGTGTCTATAGTGATTTTGGATAAGCATATCCCGAAATAAGCCTGCCGTTGTTGGGCCTAGTTATGGTTTAGAAAGACAAATCCTGAATGGAATTTCGTGAATAGGTTCTGAATAGGCTAGCATGGGTGCCCCTAACAAGGTCTGTGGCTCATAGAGCTCAGTCAGGGCCTAATTAGAGAGATTTACAAAACAAAAGGAAGCCCTGAATTGTACGAACGTTATATTTCTATGTAGGGCTTACACGATGACAAAACATTTTGTATTTCTTGTTAAAATCGGTCCTTGTTAAAATTTTCGCGTTAAATTTTTAGCATATCCGTGTGTTAATTTAACATATTGTTTTTATGTCATTTTGACATTTTACGTTGTGCCGATATTCATATATCAAAATAATGTTATACTTCAGCGTCATTTAACATGTTAATTCTGTATTAATTTTTTATGTAATATTTATGTTACTTTTCGGGATATTCATTTTGTGTTAAATTAACGAAAAAATTTAAGTGGACCGTTTAGGACATGTGAAATGTGTGAAATTTAACAGAAAACTTCTTACTGTGCAGATAGAAGCGGAGAAAAATTGTGCCTTTTTAACACCCGTATTAAATTTCAATCCGAGTTGCTTCGCGATTCTTTCCGCGACGATCACCTCGCATTATCCGGTATCTTCGTACGTCACGTACGATAAGTTTCTTGGAGAGGCCTGTCTTTTTAAATAAATTGCTGCGAACTAATTAATCGATTGACTCGTGGCGCATCTCACGGTTGTATATTACCGTTCCGCGTCGACCTCGCAGTTTAGCATTATATTATGCGGTTACAACCGTGCAAGGGCAACTATGTGAAACACGCTTGCATAATCGATACGTGCGATTTCGGCATATTAGCAGCGTAAGCATGTACATGGAATTTCTGCGAACAATGGTCCGCGCCGACAATACGCATTAAAAGTCGGAAACTCCGCGAAAAAATGCATAAAGCGCGTCTTGCCATTACGGTGCCGGTTGAGTTTTATAACGGATGACATCGACGAGATATTATTGCGCATTACCGTAATGACCGTAATTATACAGCGGCCTCAATGCCGGCGCGCGATACTTCTCTCTGGCAAAAAGTTTAAGTAGAGAAACACAGATTATTTCAATTAGTGATTCCGAGGTACTTCTTGTTGGAACGTTTTGTCGTTATATCACCGAATTTTGGCGCGTATTCCTTCGTTTATTTCATTTCGCCGGCAAACACAATAACGAGCCGTATGAATTTTTCGCATATTATGTTTCGATAAAAATATATTTCCTCGTTAAAACATATATTCATCGCGCGCTGTGTTTACACTGCGCACTAAATGGATCTCGCGTGTGTTTATCGTTAGAAATGTTCGCGCAGCTATTTAACTCCAAACGCTAAAATTAAACTTCCTCTGCTGGCAAATAATACGTGGAAGAGTCATGATTATCGAGTATTTCATGTGTTTACGTGCTTGTAACATTACCAATTAAAAGGACATGCGAGTCGGGTTTAATATCCTTGTTAAATTCCGTTCGACAAATTCCATCGCGCGGGGATTAAATGTTATGTGAAATCGTCGAAACGTTTTCACCGTCGGCTGACCGTTCGCCGTTTCGATTAGTTTAGATTATATATTTTTCCCCGAGTCGGTTTGATATATCATGATATTAAAGAGAATGATGATCGAACTCGACGTGTATTTTTATGGGTGTAAAGCGGCCGGCGTTTCAGGGAATATAATACGAAGCTGAAAGGCAAACGCAGATCCGCATATCTGAAGTGACGCTTTTCAATTTATAGCTGACGTTTGCTGGAGCCGATCGGAAGACTTCTTCACTGTCACCGAAATCTCCTCGGACGGAATTGGTAAACGAAAGTTTCGCGAAGTCGATGCTCACGCGATACGGTACGTACTACGTTTACCGTGAAATACGCTCGGGAATGCCGCGACCTAATTTTGTGTATAAACGCCGAATCTCACGCAATTGTTTAATCGGGAGCGAACGATAACTGTCAGTTTTCCCGAATCTCCACGAGAAATTTGCGTGAGAAAATAAAATTATGATTTGTCTTAAATTAATTTCGCGACGTGCATACGACAGTAACACCCCGACCGTATCCTTCATAACGCGCAGCCGAGTCAGACGCATGTCACGCGCATATAACGTCAGTCTTTATTTTAGAAATGCACTCGCTGGCGACGTGAGGAAAAATGAGGAAGACGCGAGAGTGCGCATATGGCAAATTATAGTTTTACATTACCTGTTGTACATAAGAACGTCGGGTTTCCATAGCCGATGCGGCGGTATTCTGAGATCTCGCACGCCTCCGTAGTCCGAGACGTTCCATCTCATGTTCACGTCGTTCCATTCCTGTAATTAAACGGAAATGTTGCAAAAGTTATTACTCATGCACTTGCTCACTTGAACGGAAAAATCGTCTCGTTTTGTGAGAAAATAATATAATAATAATAATAACAATAATATAGGCAAAATATAATCAAAATAATTAAACTAGTCGCTACACGGAAAAAATAATTAACTGCCACAGCTAAAAACTAAATCTGGTATTGAAATTTCAGTAATATCATTTATATGGATAGATAGTAGATAGTTTTTAACTGTGGGAGCTTATTCTTTTTTTCCGTATATTATCAAAATAAATAACCAAAAAGTTGCGAGTTCAAACATTAAAAATTAAGACATGTTTCAGTATATTTTCTATATTTCAGATTTTACGCGATCTTTGATTATCGATAGTCATTCGCGACTCTCAAAGAGACTCAAAAGATTCGATTGAATGCGAGTCAACGAACGGACTGATTAGAGAATCTCCGCGCTAAAGATAAAGCTAACATTTCGTACAATCAGCTAGGTACGCGAATGCTAACGTACTCCCCCTCGAAATCACGTCCGAAAATCACTCACCGCGTCCTCTCGGAGGCGATGTTGACACTATCGATTTTTCAAGCGCCAAGTGCCGACATATGCCATTCGTGCAAATATTTTAGACCACGTCGTACACGTCAGGTAAACACTACAAGCTTTCGATTTAATTTTTGTACCGGGAATTTACGAACACGTGCAACTTTGCAAGGAGCCTTTTGCTCCTGTAATGTACAAGGTGCACCTTTGCGAAACTATATTTCAAGCGCACCGTTCGCGCGCATACAGACGACATTGTGCTTTTCATATCTTGCGGTATATCCGCGTTTGATATTCTTCGCGCTCGTAATTTAGAAATTAAAATAGAAATAGAAAAATTCTTCGTCGTTTTCTTCGTCGCATTCAAAGATTCGGACAAAATTCAACCGTTGTCCTTTGCAACGACAAAGTCCGAAGTTTATCGATAATTCTCCAACGCGAACTTTGGCTAATATTTCACCGGCATTACGTCAAAACTCGACATCGCTGATACAGCAGCGAAGAGCGCATTTAGCCGGACACCGAGTATAATGGCGCTACGTGCTCGCTAATACTATTCCCCGCAGTTTTCAGGAACATTTCCCGAACTTTCCTCGCGAGTTTGCGTGACTCCTCCGAAGCGATTTAGGAACTTGGGAGTACTCGTGGTTCTGGAGCTCTTCACTTGGGATCCGGAGTCCTTTCTTAGCGGAACGGAAATGAGACAGACAGGATCGATCTAACACCGGCCGTAACAGGTCGTTGTGCGTCTATTTTTGGCCGGTTTCTTTCGAGAAGATCATCCCCAACACGAGGCAAAGTTGGAGAATCAGAGAGAGAAAGAGAGAGGGAGATGAGAAATGAAGTGAAAAACGCAGGTCTATTGCATTTCAGAAAGCACCGATTGAACGTTTGCGTCTTACCCCATTGCCTCTTTTAATTAAATTCCTCCCTAATATATCTCTCAACTTTCGCTTTTCCGAATGTCGTACAATAAAAACTATCTTTGCTGTTAAGATTTATTATTCACTTTATTTCTCGTACCAATCGAATCTATAAGATTATGAAATTTGTTTTTTTAATATATTTCTCTTTTTGTCACCAATAACTTGCTAACTAAAAAACATTTTGTATTTGTATTAAAATCGATCCTTGCTTAAATTTTTGTGTTAAATTATTAACATACCTATATATTAATTTAACATATTGTGTTTGTTATTTCAATATATTTTGTGTTGAGTTGATATTCAATATATTTTGTATAAGTATTAAAATCGTACATTTTATACTTCAGTATCAATTAACGTATTATAATTTTGTGTTAATTTTTTATATAATATTTGTATTACTTTTCAATATATTCATTTTTGTTAAATAAACGCAAAAATTTGTGGACTGTTTGGAACATGTGAAATGCGTTAAATTTAGCACGAAATTTCATACCGTGTGCCGTCCTAGTGGAAACGTTTTATTTTATCTCACTTTAACATAAATTTACGATTTAACCTCGACAGCTGCGTCCAGTAAAGATACGGGCTTACGCAGGAGCAGGCGAAAAGAAGAAAAAAATACAGGAGGAAATTTCCCGTAGGAGATTTCCCAAACGGACGGCAGATCCGGGGATGTTTTTTGATGCCGCCGTAACCAACCCTCTCGAACTAGAAGCCGGGTCCGCGGTAAGCCCGGTTGATTTCGTCGCCGGTTTTCGTCTCGGTTGTCGCACTCATGCCGATTAGTCACTGACCCCGATTGATTAGCTGCTGATGGAGTGCAACGCGAGATAATTAATAACGGAGCACGCGGGCAGTTCGGCACGGCGGTTTGTGGAATCGCCGCGCGTAGGCCGTTATTATTGTATAATCATTCGCGCGTTCACGGAAAGCAGATGCGGCTAATTGCCGCCGCCGTATTAATTTAACCTTCATCGGTATCGAAAAAGTTCTATTTCACCATTCCCAGTGCTTACCGATGCACAATGTTGCATTTGTCAATCAGCGAAACGCGTGTGAAACGCGTCCACTCGGGTAAAACCCTACGACGATGGACGGGGCTTACATACCGAAAGCCTAAAATTTTTATTCGTTACGTTTGCTCCTCCTAAATTCCGTTCCACGACCGCGTCGTACCTTCTCGAGGCTTGTCCGCCATTCTGGTTCTCTTGTCTCAACGTAATGTCTCCGGGCCTTTATTTCCCACCGGGAAAAAAACTAATTGAGTCATCGGCCACGGCCATTGAAGGTAAATCCTTCGCTTCCCGCGCGAGCATCCCGTCGACCACGGGACGAAGCTTCCCGCGCGTTTTCTCGAAGAACCAATCCAAGAACCGAGGATCGACCTACTCCCTCCGTCGGCTCTTCGTTCTTTCACACGCGATATCGTGCCGCGTTCTGCGAAATGCGGGATTCCGGAGCAATGATCCGCGCATTTTCCACGAGGGAGACAAATATCGGCAATCTCGTTTCGCACTTTGCGAACGTCTCGCGGAAGAATGCGTCATGCTGGCGCGATGCGGGAGCCGGATGCAAAAGTAACCGGATACCGGTGGTAAAAGTCACGGGGTCGGAACGGAATGGAATTCCGCGCGTCTGTGAGAGTTCGCGGACTCCGGCTGGATTCCGAGGGTGAAGCCGCTTTTCGGGACGAGCGCCATTTACAAGCCGTGTCTTTTGAAACACGACCTGCTTTCGGGGATAGAATATATTTTTCTTCTTTGTTTTTTTTTCGTAGGAAAAGAAGATAACGGCCGGGCTTTATCGATTAGAAGCGCTCGCGGAAACACGAAAGACTCGTGTTATCTTCTTATTTTCTTACGTTGCTCCTCTCATCTTCCTTTCTTTGTTATTCGTCATATTTCATCGTGCTCTAATCCGAGCCTTTTCCGAGCTTCGTGTCATGGGTAAATATATCAGCGATCCGGAGACGGAAGATGAGGCACCGTTTGAGGTAATATCTCCGACTGGCTCTAATTGCTTCGTAAGAAAAGCGATCGTTCGCGGACGGTTGATTCGCCGTGTCGTTAATCGCATTCGAAAACAAGAATAGCTCGATAAAGGACGGGCGTAAAACGACGGCGACGACAGTAACGGTGGAAAGTCGTAAAATCTAACGGCATTGCGAAACGACCCGAAGTATTTTTCGTCTAACGACTTCGCTGTTACATGACTAGCGTGAATATACAGAGATGAATTGATGATGCTTTCAATGATGAATAAATAATAAAGAGATAAAAGTAATAAGCTACGTACAGTCCGCAAATGTTATCCAATATTAAGTTTATGCGAATAACGCCATTATAGCAGTGCATGAGACGCACCGACGGCCGACAAAATCAAGTAACTTTCGTAAGGAAAGAATTTTTCAAACTCTCTAAATTAAAAAACTTTCCGCCAAAGCTTCCTTGCACCAAGTTAATATGTTCTTAATATTCAGTCGACAATCAAGTGCGATATGCTTCTTCGCTCTATCGCGTTAAAAGCAAACGTCTGAATAATTCTTATCGTGACACGTTTGCATTTACACGTTGACGCCTTTATTTGTCCGATATTTGTCTATTTTGTGGAGACCGACAATCACGAGATTGTTTACGTACGATTCATGTTCCGTCGCTGAAGTCAAGAATATTCTTCGGACGTGTGTTTCCTCGCGCTCATTCGATAATTATACATGGACATGAACGAAAAGTGGGAATTGCGCTCGGGTTGGTTTGCATGTCTAATCCGATCTTGGCTCCGCGGGACGCGTTCTGATATTTCTGCGCGCACCATAATTCTCACTGCTGCGATATTCATAAACTTGAAATATATCCGTCGCGCTATCTTTGACATTCATCGATCCCTCGGCGTGACTGGAGCGTCGATTATTCATCTTCTCGCTATGCAATTCTGCTAGAGCCTTGCAGAACGTACGACTTGTGATATCGCTCGCACACGCTGTCCTTTCCTCTCCCGCCTCGAATTATTGCGTTTTTGAAATAAACATACGTTCGCCCAGTCACGCGATCGATCCCTCATCATCCCAGAAATTATGAAAGCGCGTTATGCTTTCAATGATAAATTAACCGCTGGTGGATGTTGCAGGCATGAATGTGATTTAGTTGTCAAAATAATGAGAAAAATAATGAGAAAAATGAGTTTTAGACTTGAAAAAGTAAAAAGAAGTAATCTTTTTCAAATAATTTATACGTTGAAAATTAAATTTTGTATCGATTATACCATTCCTCTAAGAGATTAAAAATATTAACTTTATAGTGAAAGTCAATGAAGAGCAAAATTTGAATTTTGGAGGATAAAAACGTTAGATGATACATAGAAGCTCAAATTTAATTTATATAAACCCAGTCTTAGGCACATATTTAGATATAATAAAATTCTTCAGAAAAAAATAGAAATTAAATCCTTTTTTTTAATTTTTTTCAAACACGTTTAATAAAATAAAATAAAATAAAATAACAACATTTGAAGTTGAGCTAC